TCGGTAACCCGCGCATGCTGTCGGCTGCCCATCTTCGTCGGTTAATTTACAGTAAGCCGATCAGTAAGGCAACACCTTAGGACTTCAAACGAATTCTTGACGAATTTCGAGGGTCGCGACTTGCTCTGAAGGCCCTGGGAAGGCCGGTGGATCATTGGAACGAGCTGTTCGTCCACCTGCTCTCAGAGAAGCTCGATACGGCCACGCGGATAACCTGGGAATCTTCCTTGGATGATCCCACGAGAGTTCCAGCTTTCGAGGATTTGGAGCGGTATCTGGAAACTCGTGTCCACGCTCTCAGCATGGCACAAGAACGGGATCGATCGTCTCCACCTGTCACCGTCAAGGATCCAAAACGCCCGGCTACTGTCACCTCCGGGAGCGGTCTGCCCTTGCAGTGCAGGAAGCCAACGAGCCCACGCCGAAGTCGAAGACGGGTCGCGTCTACCCAAAGTGCTCAGGCCCTCATCAACTAGGTTTTTGCCCCCGGTTCAAGGCTCTCAACCCCTTGGAGCGGTGAGACTTCGTGGATGCACATGCGCTCTGTAGCTCGTGTTTGAGCCCTGGACATACTGCGAAGTCATGCAAATCATGTTACCGGTGCATGGCCTGTCAAGAGACTCACCATACTGTCAAGGGACTCACCATACGTTACTGCACGATGCCTACCTTCGCAACACGACGTCATCCATCGGCGCTTCGGGATGCCCTGCAGGACCCTCGACATCTGCGTCCACATACGCCGTGCGATCGCATAGCAAGGTGTTGCTCGCGACCGGTCAAGTGCGTATGACCTCACCAAGTGGCCTCAGTGTTTCGACTCGTGCGCTGCTCGATCCTGGTTCGGAAACGTCGTTCGTGAGTGAACATCTTGCTCAAACACTGCGACTGAAAAGGAAGACCGTGCATGTTACTCTGAGGGGATTGGACGAACAGCCTCTGGGGGAGATTCATCACGAAGTGCAAGTGTGGCTTACCTCCGACAAGGATCCGGCATTCCAAATTCGGATGGAAGCTCTCGTCACCAGGAAAGTGACCTCCCACACACCGTCGCTGCCCCTGGACTCCGCATGTTGGGACTACCTCGAGGGATTCCCATTGGCTGACGAGAACTTCAGGGTACCATCTCGAGTCGATGCTCTCCTGGGCGCTGACGTGTGCGGATTCCTGTTTCTGGAGAATCGCGTGGGTCCACCAGGTGTTCCTCCGCTAGTGCGGACTCCTTTTGGCTGGGCTCCGCTGGGACCAGTCCAAGCCTCGTCTACAACGACCAGATCAGATCAATCGAGGATCCTGCACGTCCGTCGAGATGACGATCTACATACCTCGCTGCAGCGCTTCTGGGAGATCGAAAACGTTCCGACGACAGCGCCCTTGCACCCCTCCGAGATCCAGTGCGAGGAACATTTTTCGAACACTCACTCGAGGGACGGTACGGGACGTTATGTGGTACGTTTGCCATTCTTCTCTCAACCGATCGAAGATGTAGGGGTGACACGAGTAACAGCCACCCGGATGCTGCTAGCATCGGAACGGCGCCGAGAACGTGACCCGCGTCTCCGGGAGAGGTACGCTGCATTCCTCGACGAGTACCTAAAATTGGGCCACATGGAACCGGTCACCGACCCATCCAGGATATCGCCACGCTGCAGTTATTTACCTCACCACGGCGTATGGAAAGGAGATGGCGACGATGCGAAGATTCGCGTCGTTTTCAATGCATCGTGTGTTTCCACGGGTAGGTCATCGCTTAATTCGGTTTTGTTGCCAGGTCCCAAACTGCAGAGTGAGTTATGGATGGTCCTCACACGCTGGAGACTTTTCCGATGTGCTTTTTCTGCGGATATTGTTAAAATGTTCCGTCAGATACGAGTACACCCCGAAGATCGTGATTGGCAACGCATTGTATGGAGACCATCACCCACCGAGGAAGTGCGGGACTTCCGTCTTACAACGGTCACGTACGGAACCACCCCCGCACCCTTTCTGGCTCTTCGGGTTCTCCAGCAGCTCGCCGATGATGAGGGCGAACGTTTCCCACGAGGAGCGGAAGCGTTGCGACATCACTCATACGTCGACGATATCCTGGCTGGAGCGGATAACGTCCAAGAAGCAGAGGAAGTCCGACACCAGCTGGTGGAGCTTCTCACGGCGGGCGGTTTCCCCCTGGATAAGTGGGCGGTCAATTTCGACACTGCGATGTTTGGCAATCTCTCTACAGAGAAATTGTTGCAGGTCAATGACACTGTAGGGGCTTTAGGACTTCGATGGGATCCCAAGGCCGACTTACTCACGTTGCGAAGCTACCGACCAGTTGAGGAAACCTCTAAGACATCGTGGACTAAGCGCGAGGTCGTCTCCGAAACGGCCCGTCTATTCGATCCCATGGGATGGTTCGCTCCAGTTTTGATTCGGGCCAAGGTGCTGATCCAGGATCTCTGGCTTGCTGCTCTGGACTGGGACGAACCGTTAACGAAGACCATCGACACGAACTGGGCTAACTTTCGACGTGATCTGGAGCGTTTGGAGGTCTTGAAAATCCCTCGCTGGACGGGCTGACATCTTGGACTAAGCGCGAGGTCGTCTCCGAAACGGCCCGTCTATTCGATCCCATGGGATGGTTCGCTCCAGTTTTGATTCGGGCCAAGGTGCTGATCCAGGATCTCTGGCTTGCTGCTCTGGACTGGGACGAACCGTTAACGAAGACCATCGACAAGAACTGGGCTAACTTTCGACGTGATTTGGAGCGTTTGGAGGTCTTGAAAATCCCTCGCTGGACGGGCTCAGTATCCGAGGATGCCTTGGAGCTCCACGCGTTTTGTGATGCTTCCGAACGAGCGTACGCAGCCGCTATTTACCTGCGAGTTCCGCATTCGCATACGGCCGCTGACGTACATCTTCTGGTCTGTAAGACGAAGGTCGCACCTACGAAACAGCAGAGTGTGCCTCGGCTCGAGCTTTGCGGGGCACAACTCTTAGCGCGACTCGTCACTGCCGTTCGGAACTGTCTTCAACCCCGCTCTGTTCGGCTGTATGCTTGGACAGATGCGGCTGTCGTTCTAGCGTGGCTCCAAGGACATGCTTCGCGGTGGAAGCCCTTCGTGGCCCACCGAGTCGCGGAGATCCATGGTCTTCTCCCAGAGGTGCAGTGGAGGCATGTGCGGACTTCTAACAATCCCGCAGATTTGGCGACCAGAGGCCTGTCCTACAACGAATTAGAGGGAAATCAATTATGGTGGTACGGACCCACGTTTTTGAGGAATCGTCCTGAACATTGGGAAAAGTCGTCAGTAACGATACCTGGAGACGTACCGGAACAACGATCCATTATGCTGCACCTCTCCGCGACTCGGATGGAGCCCAACGAGCTACTGGAGCGATAGACATCTTTCACTCGCCTAGTCAGGGTCACCGCATACCTCCGACGATATATCCACAACTGTCGATCTTCTTCCTCTCGCCGAGGTGGTTTCTTGTCAGCGCAGGAGCTCGAAGAGGCTCGTCTTCTACTGTGTCGCTTGAGCCAGGCTGACACCTTTGTGGAGGAGATTAAGCGCCTGAAATCAGGTAAACCGCCTTTGACTTCTTCGTCAATTTACGCTTTACATCCGTTTTTAGACGAAGCAGGAGTCTTGCGCGTGGGTGGTCGGCTTTCTAACGACCCGTTATCCAGGGATCAGCGTCACCCCATCATCGTTGACAAACAATCGCCGTTGGCCACTCTCCTAATTCGGGCTGCGTATGAACGCGGACGAAAGAACGCTCCATGGAGGACTGGATTTAACTCGTTGCACTCTCATGCAGGAGTATTGGATACCCAGAGGAAGGAGCTTGATTAGAAAAATCCTCCGACATTGCCTCCGGTGCATTCGACAGCGGGGTACCACTGGTCGACAACGGATGGGAGATATTCCTCCGTGCAGACTACGCCCGGCGAGGGCATTTGCACGAAGTGGCATCGATTACGCAGGGCCGATTACTCTTCGTCTTGCCAAAGGGAGAGGACAAGGGACAACGAAGGGATATCTGGCCGTCTTCGTCTGCCTGGTCACTAAG